AATAGGAGTTCTGGGTGATCCAGGAAGAGCTAAGGAAAATGGGTGGAAGTATAATCTCTGAATTTTTGCTACATTTCTAAAGCCCAATCATGTTGCATAAAACAGCATTTCAGCTCTTGGCCAGGCAATTTTCAATGTACTTTTGCAGCTGGTAGGTCTATGAGCCACTCCAGCACAATGCATATAAAACATTCTATAATAGTGGTAACTGCCTTGGGCTTCCGGCACTTAACTAAAAGATGGGTCCCCACTTAAAAGAAACAAATGTATACTGCAAGAGGCATTGCTAAATCAAAGTGTGACCTAAATGGACTAGGTCTACAGTTGTAGGGGTTCTCACACTAGGGAAATCTTTTCAATGTTTGGGTCTAGGTCAGCCGTGGGCAAACCGGCCCGTTTGAAATGAATAAACCTAAAAAAAAAAAAAAAAAAAAATGGACCGTACCCTTTTATGTAATGATGTTTACTTTGAATTTATATTAGTTCACACAAACACTCCATCCATGCTTTTGTTCCGGCCCTCCGGTCCAGTTTAAGAACCCATTGTGGCCCTCGAGTCAAAAAGTTTGCCCACCCCTGGTCTAGGTCCTAGAAGGATGTTATTTTCAATGAACTCAGCACATAAAATGTTGGACACATTTGTTCATAGAACTTTGAGTTAGTAATCAGCCTTCTCTAGCATGTTATCTAATAACAACTTTAAAATAAAAATACTTTAAAAATTTCTGTGTCACACTAGCCACAGGGCTACTATATTGGTCAATGCATTCTGAAACAATTCCATCACAGAAAATTCTACTGGACAGTGCAGTAGCTTTGAGTGTGGCGGGCCAATCAAGTTGGGCTTCACACACCAATTGAAAAATGATGCCCAAGTCCCAATGACCGAAATTTAGTATCTGGAGTACACACCTGGGAAATCAGGATTCTAAAGGTCCCTAGGTAATTTTAATGTACAACCAAGGTTGCGAACCACTAGACAACTAATTTGATAAAGTACTAATAACCATTCTAATTACAACATTTTTAGGATTGTGAAAGGCATGCGAGTTCTTTTTGCATAAGGAAATTTGTCAGACTTCAGAACATCTTTTGTCCCTCAAACTCTTTTATTCCTGTGTGACATTAAAAAAATAATCTGGCATGTTCAAGACTGGAACAGAGAGCACCATGCCTTCTTATCCCCATTCATCTTGGGCTTCAACCTTCCTATGAACTACTAACCTTTGTTGGCATTCACCCCATTATACTATTCCTTCTCTCTTCCTATTATGGTCTGCACCTCTAATTTAAGCTGTAGGGGAAGTGTCTCACCTAGTTCACAAGAGGGCTAACTTCACCACTCTCCAAACAGGTCCTACTTTTCATAATTGGGGCTAAAAATATTTTTTCATTAACAAAGTTACTAATACAACCACATACTGTTTTCAGACCTTTTCCTTGGTTTACTTCACTTCAATAGGATTAATTTATCAAAAATCCAAACTTCGAACTTTGCAACATCCCTAATTTAGTCAGTCTCCTCTGTAAACATCTGGAATTCTCTCATCACAGTCAGGTATAAATCCATATCCAGCTTTCTCTCTCGTTTAACTGACCAAATTTTTAATTTATGCCAAACTCTTTCTAAACACTAAAAGTTCTCCAACATAGAGCCCATATTAAGTCAAAACCACCACAGTATAAATGATATCTGTTCTCTGTGAAGTACAGTGTTGATAAAGCCTGTGAAGTACTTTTGAAGTTACTTAATTGCCCCTATTCTGCATATTACATATAACTCATTTACTGGTTACCCTCATTTCTATCATAGCTGTTTTACTGTTAATTGGTTTCCTCGTTACCAAGGTGCTTTTTCTTTGAACTTAAATGCATTTTCTTCATCAAGGTGATCTGAACTAGGGTCCAGAAATTCAAACCCCATTTGACATTGGTGTATTTCAGGGATTTTCAACTGGTATGCCACAAGAACTCTTAAAACATACAATACCTGACTATTTAGTCAGGAATTCTGATCTCTCTTCCCTAAGACTGTCAAATTAAAACATGACAACAGCCAACACAACAGCTGTCCGGTGTGAATTAAACAAAATCTACTGGGAATCCTCTTTTCAACTATTTTTTTTGGTCACATCAGCAAAACTTTTTTGGTGTGCCACAGGATTTTAATTAGTTCACGTGTGTCATGAGATGAAAAAGGTTGAAAATCACTGGTGTAGTTTAATTTCTCTTATAATAGAAAGGTCAGTAAGAATGTTTATGTGGCTAAGTCCTTCATTTCCCCAGGCCACAGTCAATAATGATGCTTGCTGGTTCTCGCCTGAAAATTAGTGCATCAGTGGCTAGCCACATATTCTCAGAATAAAGTACATCTTTCAACTGATCTCATTAAACATATAGCTATTCCCTATTCCCCAAGTATTTCTGTAACATTACCTAAATACTAGTACTTGTAAAGTTAAGTTTGTCATCTGTTGTTTTACTTTCCCTTTCATCCCACTGGGCTTTGCTGCTAAATTGTCCAATAGATTCCTTTGACATTTTATGATTACTGGATGGCTGAAATGATAGCACATTTCCTTCTACTCCTTCCATTACATTCTCAGTCCTCATTTGAATTCCGTTTATTCCTTTCCAATTTACCATGCCTTGCCGTTCCTATTTGCATTTTCTTTTCTGTTACACCTAGTTTCCTCTGTAAGAGGTGTAAGAACCTGCACTGACTAGCACTAATCTTATAAACTTTACAGGCTTAGGATGTTATGGTAACATTTGAACTGAAATCTACTGGGAAACCTCTTTTCAACTATGAAGGCATTTAATTCACAGTAGCCTGAGAACAAGAGTGTAAAGTGATTCTTCCCCATGAAGACAACCTAGACACATCTTTTGTCAATAACCCTGTGTGTGCAGATTTTCTAAGAGTGGATGATCATTTCTCTAGCTATTAAAAAAGAGCCATTCCTCAGTTTCTTCCAATATTTAGTTTTGAAGGAATTAGAATAGACACTTTCGCCATAGCCAGTTTGGCTCAGTGGATAGAGCGTCGGCCTGCGGACTGAAGGGTCCCGGGTTCGATTCCGGTCCGGGGCATGTACCTTGGTTGCGGGCACATCCCCAGTGGGGAGTGTGCAGGAGGCAGCTGATCGATGTTTCTCTCTCATCGATGTTTCTCTCTCATCGATGTTTCTGACTATCTCTCCCCCTTCCTCTCTGTACAAAATCAATAAAATATATTAAAAAAAAAAAAGAAAGAAAGAGACACTTTCACCTTAGCTGGTTTGGCCCAGTGGATAGAGCGTCAGCCTGCAGACTGAAGGGTCCCGGTTTCGATTCCAGTCAAGGGCATATGCCTAGGTTGTGGGCTTGATCCTCAGTGGGGGGTGTGCAGGAGGCAGGCAATCAATGATTCTCATCATTGATGTTTCTCTCTCTCCCCCTTCCTCTCTCTGAAATCAAATTTTTTTTTTTTTAATGAAGAAAATAGACACTTTCCCCTTTGGCCAGTGTGGCTCAGTTGGTTGGGCATCATCCGATGCACTGGGGGGATTGCACATGCCTAGGTTGAGAGCTTGATCTCAGGTAGGGGGCAGGCAAGAGACAACCAATTGATGTAAAGCTCTCATATCAATTTTTCTCCCCCCCTCTCTTTCTAAAAACCAGTAAAAATGTTTTAGCTTGGCCAGTGTGATCAGTGGTTAAGCATCTACCTATGAACCAGGAGGACACGGTTCAATTCCTGGTCAGGGCACATGCCTGGGTTGCGGGCTCAATCCCCATTACATGCAGGGGGCAGCCAATCAATGATTCTCTCTCATTATTGATGTTTCCTATCTCTCTCCCTCTCTGAAATATATTAAATAAGTGTTATTAGCATTTTTAGAACACTGACTCTTTCTAAGAATCCAGCTAAGCATCCACTTTATTTTGTCATGAGTTATGTGTCAAAAGTGAGTTTGTGCAGCATAGAAAATCACATGACTAGAAAACAAGGTGGGTAGTAGTATGTTTGATCAACTTAACACAAAAGCTACTTTGATACTGTGGATGTCAGATCCAAGGGCAGCCCATAGTTCAGCCTCTTCCTATTCTGCTTTGTGATATAATGATTTAGGAGATTTTTATGAATAGAACTTTCTCCCATAGTAGCTTGGTCATAAATGTCTTTGCTGTGAGTTATAAAAGAGCAACTTTCCAGGGAATCAAGGCTTGTGCGGATAATAGTCTAAACTAACCATGTTTTTGTCATGTTCTGCAGGAAAAACGGAAATATAAAACATACACATATTCAACCGTTCAGGACCGGCAAGCATCACAGATCTGAAAGCAATTTAATAAATCTGCCCTTAAAAGTCTGGGTGTTAACTAGTACCCTATGCCTAAAAATCATTGCAAGTAATTGGGTAGGAGTGCACAGAAATTACTTCATATGAACTGAACGAATTGAAAATAAATAAGTGTGTACACCTCACAATGTTCTCAGTTACCTGGGAAAGAGGTTTTCTATTTTCAGTAACACTGAGGCAAAGACTCAGAATCCAGAAGGTAACTGGTGCAATAAACAGTAATTAAAAGGACAAAAATGGAAGAAAGTTTCATTCTCCAGTTATTTCAATTTCCCTAAAATCCTGACATGTCTGAACCTCTTCCTTTAAGGATGTAACAATTTAGCACACAACAAATATCTCAAAAAGGGCACAAATGGACCACAAAGCATTGGTGAAAAAGCTTCACGTATTTCCCAATTTTTTTTCCATTAGGGTATAAAAGCAATTTTGAAAACCCTCCATTCCACATCAAAGTTACTTTTCTCCTTAATGTTAACACTCACCCCAATGAAATATAATTTGAGTAGTGTGTGTTGTTATGCACAATGATTACAATTCAAATAAAAATATATGTGGTACATTCTAGAGGTTTTGTAGAAACCGCTGTGAAACGAAGTATTTGAAATAAATATAAAGTACAAAAATAAAAAAACCAGGTTTTTTTCCTCCAAATTCCTGGTTTAATAAGGACGTGTTTATTTTGAGAAAAAAAGGTCCCAAACATCAGGCTGTTCACAAAAATAACCCACAGTATCAACTTTAGAAAACAAATCTTAAAACTATTACACTAATTATTTACCTAGAGGATGCATTTGACATGCCAACTCTCATTCACAAAAATACATTGTTACATTTGTGTTGAACAGCCCCACATAGCACTCTTATATGGGGTATAAAACACATACCTCTAACTCAAAGCTGCTCTCAGGTGCTACTCAACTAATGCGATTGCCTTTGCAGTTAGGGAAGCAACTACTGAACTCATATATGAATGAAAAGAACTGTGCTCCCTGCATAACAAGAGATTATTTTGGAGACAGTTGATAAAAACCATACATCCTTTTATTGTTAAGTCATAAAGAGGTATCAAAATTAAAAGCAAAAATTACAGGGTTAAGACTTAACATAACTACTAGGAGCATCAAAGGGAAGTGAAAATGGGACTAGGCGCAGGGCAATATGAATTAATGAACATGGGAGGGACGAGATGGGGAGAACAGTGAGCATGTGCTGAAGGTACTAGGGAGAGGATCTGGTGAAAATTTTGATCTCAGACAAGCGCCTAGATAAAGAAATAATGGGACAACATTTCTAAACCCCACTATGTGCTTAAGAGTCATCCTCGCCATTGGCGCTGTCTCTGTCATCCTCTCCTTCCTCAGCCTCTTTTTCATCATCCTTGATCAACTCCAGCTGTGAGAAACAGACACAAATAGGATGGAGTTAGAGGCACTCCATGTGTCCCTGATCCCCCCTCCACCACCTTTTTCTTTCCTTTCCCGTGGTTTTCACCTGGTCATCCCCCCGATCTTCATTATCATCATCATCCAGTAGGTCCCCCTCCTCAGCAGAATCCTCAGCACCCCCCTCGGACTCCATCTTCACATTAGTCTCATCTTTCTTCAGGGAGCTGGTGGTCTGCTCCTCTTCTGTCTTATCATTCTTCATCTCTACTGGGGATGAGAAGGACAAGTCTGTCCAGGGATATTAATGTCCATAGGGTGTAAACAATTCCCACTCATCAATACAGAACTGCAGCCTAATTCCCCCCACATAAATGCCCTCCCCAATTCAAACTCCCCAAGTTTCACATTCAATTGCTTTACACCCACTATTCAACGTATATTTTCAATTACCTTAGGTAACTAACCCAAATCTATATCCCCCAAAAAGCAGCAGTACCATTTACCTGCTTGTTTGCTCTGTTCCTTTTCAATTTTTTCCAGGCTTTCCAGTAGATAATCCACTTTTTGTTTTATCTGGGTCAATTCCTTCTTAATGGCCTGAAGGTCATCTCCTTTCACTTTTAAAATAAATAAAACCTTAGATGAGAATCAAAATACCAGAAGCTACAAGTTATCAAAAACATTCCTACTACACTATACACTAGTAGCCAACAGGAAATCCCTAGGGAGAAATGGCATTAGTATCAGATTGTCTCAGTAATGGGGACCTTCAATCTTGTAGCTGGTAAAGGAAAACTCCTTTATGTGCTTACTCCATTACCAGTAGCATTCTGACTTTTGTGGACCTGCTAAGACTTCAATTCCTTTTTAAAGCACTTTCTCTGTACAGTTTTATTGACATATATTACACAAATTTAACAGGTGCCTCAACTCCCTGAAGTATTCAAATTACCAGGGTCTTAAGGATAGAAGGCAATCTAGAACTGGTCCCTTAATCATTATATTCTCCTCTTTTATTACTTTTATTATGCAAAGGCTTTGTACAAAAACTGCAATTATTAGCAGCATTAATTTCACTATTTCAACACAGAATAAATACCACAAAGCTGCAATAATACATACACTTTGCAGACTTGGAAGAAGATCCTCGTTGTCCACTCTTAGAATTGAAGCCACTTTTGCCCCTTCGTGATGTGTTTCCTGATACACGCTGGCGTTTTGAGGGCACTACAGCCCGAGCAATAGGAGGAGGAGGAGGAACACGTGCTGGGTAACTGTACATCCTATTGGATAAGAAGAAGACAGAATTCCTTCACAACTAAATTAAGTCAGCAAGATCAAACAACTGCAACTTATAAAACAATACATTATCCCAGCCATTGTAGCTCAGTGTTTGAGCGTTAACCTATGAATCAGAGGTCATAGTTTGATTCCTGGTTCAGGGCACATGCCCAGGTTGTGGGCTCAGTCCCTTTCTTTGATCAGGAGGAAGCTGATCAATGATATATATTTAAAATCGTCCTAGTAACTATAACATAATCAGGTCCACACAAGAAAGATACAACCGACAGGGGATCTGAGCAAATGCAAACTTTCTTCTTATCTAAAATGTCACCTTAGGTGACACATAAAGAGGGCATCTCTTAGCTTTCCCAAGTAGCCAAGAATCCTCTTGCTCTCTTAATCACATGCCTTTCCAAGCAGGTATAGCACCGCTCAGGAATATTTTAAAAAAGGTAAAGAAACGGGAGGGAGGCAAGATGATAGCTTTTGCCCTAGCTGGTTTGGCTTAGTGGATAGAGCGCCAGCCTGTGGACTGAAGGGTCCCAGGTTTGATTATGGTCAAGGGTTGCGAGCTCGATTCCCAGTAAAGGGCGAGCAGGAGGCATCGGATCAATGACTTTCTCTTTCCATTGATGTTTCTCTCTCTCTCTGTTCTTTCCTCTCTGAAATCAATAATAATAATAATAATAATAATAAAGATGATAGCTCTTCTAACCCCAATAAAATTGAGTTAATCCAAAATCTAAAACTTTGTGAGCCTAGAACAAAATAAGGGCTCAAGTATTAGCTTAAGGAATATATGGATAGCTTCTTTCACCCATCTTGCAATTCAATGAAATCTCTCCCACCACTGTACAAACTTTTTCTTTACCTCTGATCAATAGGTCTTGCTTGAAAAGATCTGTAGAGTAAGAGATCAACAAAATTGCCTGACCTCCCTTCATGTAACCTTTAATCATGTAATCCTAGTCATAAAAGAGGGAATCTCAACTATACTCGATTCTTCTCTTCCACAAAGCATCTACTTGTATAACTTTAACCCAATAAATCTCACCAAGACCTCCAATTTCAACAATTACAATGGTAACTACCTGCACCTTTCCCTGACTCCAGTTCCTCTTTTCTACCCATGGGGCTGTTGCTAAGATATCTGCATAGAGGATAATAATAAATATTTTAACCTTACAAATAAAGTATATTCAGAACTTCTGAGTGAAAGCTAACACCATTTTTCTGAGTAGTTTTTTCCATTCTTCACTAAGCCTGTTCATTTTCCCATCACAGAACTTAGTACTATACTTGACCAGCTCTTTAGTAGCTATTACTTACTTAGAATGGAAAGGGGAAGACATTACTTTTAACTGTCACATCATATCATCAAGCAATACATTAGTAAAGAGTAACTAAAGGTATTATTTTGCCTCTTTAAAAACAAAGAAGCCAAGAGTGTGTTGCTAACAATTTTTTGGACTAAACAGATATTTCTGCAAACATTTACATTTCTTCACCATTCCTTGCTGTCTGTGTCTCTTTTTATTAAGTTTTGTGAAATTCCTCACTTAAAACAATTTTTCCAAACATGCCAGATTGTCCCCCCAAAAAATATGCACACACTTTAACAGCTGATACATTGATTGATGCTTCTTTCTTTAGCGATTTAACCCACTGGAATAATTCAAAGTGTATATACGTTTTGGGGGGACACCCTGTATTTACAGGTTGAGATGATAGGGACATTCAAAGTTCTGCTGCCTTACCAAGACAACTAAAGTAGAACATCAGAAGACTATTCTCATAAAGGTAGGGTTACACTGTCTGAATTTTATACATACAATTTAGAAAAGTTTCTTACCTAGTAAGAGTTCATAATACCCCAGAAATTATATCCATAAAATGTGTATTAAAATTTTTTCTAAAAGGTGTCATGACAGAGAAATAGGGTAAAAGTCACAGAAACAAAATTACTTCCTTGTTCTAGGTTATCAATGATTCTCAACCTTCCCTGGACATTAGAATTCTTTGGGAGCTTTAAAACACACCAATAAAGAGTCTACCTAAACCAGCTGTATAAAAATCACTACAGATGTAGTTGGGCATGAGTATTTTTTTAAATGTGGCCAAGAGATTCCTATGTGTGGGATGGTAGTGGATAAAAAATAACTGCTTCAGACAAATTCTGTTATTCACAAAATTTCAGGACCTTCAAGTAACTCTATCACTGACCAAGTTTTCCCAGATCTGTTCTCCCAACTAAGATCTGCCATTTTTATATTTTTGAAGTAGAAAAATCATTATTTTTCAAAATGTGTTCAAACATAAAAATCTGAAGAAATCTCTCAAGACAAATGAAATAATCATTTGATGATGCAATAATGAGACTCAAATCATACAACCTTATTAGCATTCAAGGATTTTTATGATGGCGATCTAAAACAATTTTTCCAGTCTTATTCCTTTGGCCTTTTAATAATTAGCTACCATAGTCTACATATTTCTCAAACACAAACGCAAAACTTACACTTATTTATCAAGTACATGTATGAGTATGGTCAAATACTACCATATAATGCATAACTTAAAAAGTACCAAACCAAATATATCTAATGTTTCCTTAACACATTAAGCGCCAAGCCTGTTTTGTCTTCCTTTCGGTTTAGTGTGTGATATCCAATTTCACCAATATGCTCGTGGCCGGAGACTGACGAGGTCCAAACAGAAAGTATAATGTCAGTCACCGGTGACTGACATGGTGCTTAACGTGTTAATAATTCATGAAGATTATTATCTGAATGCCAATATAATACCAATACTTTCTGCATATCATGCCACCCCCCAATAATTAATTCCTATTATCAGCTGGATGTAGAAGAGGGCGTAGAGGAGATAAAAGGTGATGGAAAAAATAGAACAAAATAAAATTAAAAATAAAAGCCACCCATAACCTATCCCTACCCATACGATCTTTCAATTTTATTTCGTATGAATCTCCAACAATACTAATGCTGTTCTAAAAGCACAAGAAGAAATCATTATTCCAACCTCCTTATCTTTCATTCATTCATTGATTTCAGAGAGAGGACGAGAGAGGAAGAGAAACATCAATGGTGAGAGATAATCATTGATTGGCAGCCTCCACTGGGGATCCAGCCTGCAGCCCAGGCATGTACCCTGACTGGGAATTGAACAATGACCTCCTGGTTCATGGTTTGACGCTCAACACTGAGCAACAATGGCCGGCCAACCCCCTTACCTATTAGAACTATATCACCATGATTCCTAATCTATAATATAAATCGTAACACTCCAACATTAACTCCCAAAGCAATCTGAATTGTTAATTCATTATATATACACTGATTATAGCCTATTTTGTATTAGTTGATTTGCTTAAAATTCACTGTACAATATTTAAGGTTAGAAATCATTTTTTAAATTTTACTGTAACCCCATACAATGCAAACCCAAGTGGCAAGTATGCCATAGGGAAATAATGAAGAAACATGTAACTGCTATTTAAGCATCATTTCATCATTAGGTAAGTCAGTAAATCCTTTTATTTGGCATACAAATTAAAAGAAAAAGAAAACTGACGTGTTTCAAGAAAAACCTTAGTCCAGAAAATATTGGACATGTCCCAATATGCCCTAAAGATATGTAAGCTGATTCTTTGAAATCTATAGAAATGTCACCTTACTAGTCTACCTCAATTTGCAGGAAAGCATTTTTCATTTTGTTTTTTTTCGCAGAAAGAAGAGACTTTGTTTGAAAATGTTTATGTTGTTCGTTACTACAAAATAGAAAAAACAAAATGATTCTCACTAGGTGCTTTTTATCAAGATAGACAAAACATTTTTTAACATACCTGTCATAATAATCCCGTTGAAAGTCATAGTCCAAATCAAAAGAGGAGCTGAAAAATAAACACCAAAGAGCATTAATTTGAAGCCATTGATGTCAAGTCACAACAGCAGATAGGGGAAAAAACCCCAAAGCCCATGCCAAACCAACCACAACAAATAGATCAACAGATTAGCATGGAACAACTCCCAATCATCATTCAATTAACATCACTAAATTCTAAGCACCTTAGGCCACTGAACATGTAGCGGACAAATTCAAATTCAGGTGAAAGTTTTGCTAAAATTTCAACACACTACATAATAGCCAAAATAAGAACACTGAAAATTACAATAGTAAACTAAACATTCTTAGGCCATCTTCCCTTTCTTACTCCTCAGCTCCTGAGAAGCTCAACTCCTCTTGAAGAATTTTATAATTTATGCTAAATACCAAAGTACTCTTTAATAGCCAAAATCTCAGGGAATTCTAGTAATTTTCTGGGAAATGGGTGAAAAGGAAGTATGTTAACAAAAAATTAATAAAGCATTACTTAGACACAAATAAAACATACTACAGTTAGCCCTCCCATATCCAGCAAGACAGATAGAGAATATGCCCACTGATGGACACAATGGAGTTATAAATAATAAAGTTCCGGACCTGAGTAGAGGGGACGGAGAAGGGTGTTCTGGTACTGACCCGTACATCTCCGCTGCAGATCGTTTCACACCTGCTTTTCCTCGGTTCACTTTTGGCTCTGCAGCCAGATTAATATCTGAAAAAAAAAACACAAAAATTTTAGTGACAACACTGTTGGGATTTTAAAAAATGTCCGTAAGTCATATAAATCCACAAAGATCTAACACTGTAACTCATCTTTCCTTGTGATATAAACACTCAAGAATTTTTATAAGGCTGGAACGTTTAATCTTCCATTCCTTCTGTATCAAAAAAGTTTTCATTATTTATAACACATTAAGTTTGTCTTTGGTACCTTCCACACTCAGCTTCTACTCCAATGAAACGCTTACCATTCAGAACACCCATTTTTCACTTAGTTAGTATCACAGGAAAAAGTATCAGTAACTAATAGTTGCCTTTCCAGAAATGATTCTGTGCATTTTAAATTAAACAAATATATTAGAAATAAATTACCTCAGAGATTTACTATGGCAGTTCATGAATTAATATATTTGGAGTATGGTACCCTTAAATTTCCCCAAATGCAAATGTTTATTCTACTTACAAGTAGAACCAACTCTAAAGTTGCATAAAAAAATGCTTAAGAAGTACTCTGCAGAAGTGCTTAACAACCTTTACATGCACATACATAAACATACACTAAGAAAAGAAAAATAAAGGAGCAAAGGGAAAAAAAACCTAATATGCAGTGTCCTGTCTGGGAGTTCGATTGCTCGCTATAACGTGCAATAACAACCAGGGGGCAACACAGCGCGAAGGAAGGCCCTGCAGGCAGCCACTAGGGACCCTACCCGTGCACAAATTTCATGCACTGGGCCTCAAGTTTCCATATAAAATGTAAATATTTAAAACACCCATTCTAGCCGAAACCGGTTTGGCTCAGTGGATAGAGCCTCGGCCTGCGGACTGAAAGGTCACAGGTTCGATTCCGGTCAAGGGCATGTACCTGGGTTGCGGGCACATCCCCAGTAGGAGATGTGCAGGAGGCAGCTGATCGATGTTTCTCTCCCATCGATGTTTCTAACTCTCTATCTCTCTCTCTTCCTCTCTGTAAAAAATCAATAAAATATATTTTAAAAAAAATAAAATAAAAAATAAAAAAAATAAAACACCCATTCTAGCAGCCAACTACTTACCCTGTCCATCCACTGCCTACCAACCAAGAGTTCATGTGCTCCTCATTAACAAGAGGCCATTGTAGCTCTTTTAAAACTCAGGTCATCAAATAACCAATTAAAAAACAGACATTTAGTACATTGTCTTTTTGCTAAATAGACAATTCATGAATAATCTTCAGTTTTTGGTCCACTAAATTCATTTCTAATTTTTCATATCTAATGTTTATAAAAGCCTTGCCCTTTTACAGTTTTGACTATAGACATTTATAACATTAAAGATTAAATTTTAAAAAGTGCATATTCTATTGATTTTGAGAGTGAGAGAAAGGGAGAATAGGAGCGAGAAACATGTATGAGAGAAACATGTATGAGAGAGAAACATCGATGACAAAGAAACATGGATTGGCTGCCCCCTTCATGGCCCCTATTGGGGATTGAGCCCGTAACTCAGGAATGTCCACTGACCTGAAATCCAACGAGGGACCTTTTGGTTCATTGGATAATGCTCAACTGAGCCACAATGGCCAGGGCAAGATAGAATTACATTTTTTAAAAAGCAATTTTGCCCTAGCCATTTTGGCTCAGTGAATTGAGTGTCAGCACGTGGACTATAGGGGTCCCAGATTCGATTTTCTGGTCAAGGGCAAGGGCGCATACCTGGATTGCAGGCTTGATCCCCAGAAGGGGGTATGCAAAAGGCAGTCAATCAATGATTCGCATCATTGATAGATGTTTCTATTTCTCTCCCTTCCTCCCCGAAATCAATAAAAATATTTTTAAAAGCAATTTTTAAATGTAAAAAAAATGAAACGAAAGAACTAAACTTTATCAAAGTTGATTATACAACTTTATAGATTTCATGTGATTCCAAACTATAGTACTGAATCAATAGTCAATAGACTATATATTAATAAAATTGCATTTCATAATATTAATTTTAGTAAAAATACAAGTATGATTATTTTAAAACTGTAGCACAAAGTACACATAAAATTGTATTTTTTCTATTCTTAAAAAGCATAAGTTTCTCCTAATCTACCCACTGAATCTAGTCAGAAGCAATTAAAATTCAAACACTAACTCCTGATATACAGACAGTGGTTTCTAAATAATTCTCATTAAAAGGAGCCAAGGCTCCTGGGCAAAAGGGCAAATTCCAAGTTTATGTCAAGCTATACACCAAATGACCTGGAATGTCTTCTGGTGCCAGAAAATGAGGCAACAATACATTATTCCATTAGGAAGGTCACAATGACATAGGGACCAACTTGAAGGTGATCCACTAGGCTAAAAGAAATTATTTGGAGTTCTAAAGAATGATTTGTGGCTCCAACCAGCTAGCTCAGTTGGTCAGAGTGCGTCCCAATAAACCAAGTTTGTGAATTCGACTCTCGGTCAAAGCACATACAAGAACCAACAAAGCAATGTTTCTCTCTCTTTCTCTTTTCTCTCCCTTCCTCTCTCTAAAAATCAATTTAAAAAATTGCAATGGACTAAAAACACACCTATTTAAATGTATGAATTCAAAATAATAGTAAACAAAAGCTATGGCTATATTTATAGGTTGCTAGAGGATCAATTACACCAAAATTTGAAAAGATTTATTCGGCCTTTCCAATGTGAACAGTATTTCAGAAAAATCAAATATTAGCAAGTTGTTGTTTAGAAAAATTCCAGTTAATAAGTGCAGAAGGAATTAGAAAATCCACTCTTTTGAACCCCTAATAAATTACCTAAAAATATCATCACCATAAGGTGAAAAACCGATGGGGAACTTTATCACAGATAGGTCAGGATTAAAACTTGAACCCACAAATTTTCTTAATATCACCAAAAATGGACAACGGTGGTAGGCCATCAGATGTGATACACTATAACGCAACCAATGAATGTATAAATAAATGAAACAATAAAATCGAGTATTTCTCTCTCCCCTCTAAAATCAATACAACTCAAATTTTTAAAAAGAAATGTATTATGTCTGAATTCAGATGTTTTATAAGTATGCATACACAATGGATTTCAAAGACTTGGGATGAAAAGAGAATATAAAATACCCCAAATCATATTTTTAAATAATTACATATCAAAATGACAATATTTTGGGTATAATGAGTCCAGTAAAATTAAAGTCACCCTTTTGTTACTTCTTTTAATACAGTTATTTACAAATTTAAAGGTCACATATATGGCTCACATTCTATTTCTATTGAACTAGCACTGCTCCAGATCATAGGGGTAGAAAAAAATTAACGATAAGAAAGCAATCAGTTCAGAGTGTAGGAAAATACTAAAGGCTTCAACAAATTGTCATAAAATTTTTAAATGTGAAAGGTACAGAAGAATTAACATTTAAAGCGTCTCTAGCTAACATGCTGGAGTTCTACGCTTTCATGAATTATCTCAATTAATCAATTTATCTAAATCCTCTTGACATCCTCAAATACTAATACCTCAGGTAAGAATAAGTAATAAACCGAAATACCATTATCTCCATTTGAAGAGATGAGAAAATTTAGGGCTCAGCCAAGCTAAGTAAGCTGCCTAACACAGTGTAAAGCCCCAGTGCAGAGCCAAGTAATCTGATTCTGCAGCCCATTAGTGACTAAGCTATATTGCAGGGGTCCTCAAACTACGGTCCACGGGCCACATGCAAATACAAATATTGTATTTTTGTTCCCGTTTTGTTTTTTTACTTCAAAATAAGATATGTGCAGTGTGCATAGGAATTTGTTCATAGTTTTTTTTAAACTATAGTCCGGCCCTCCAACGGTCTGAGGGACAGTGAACTGGCTCCCTGTTTAAAAAATTTGAGGACCCCTGCTATATTGTATTCCACCAGTCCACTGTGAGCAGTACCCACAGCCATTTATTACCTTATGAAATATCATTCCTACCTCCTGTACCTTACCCAAGACTACCAAGTGAGGGTTATCTAGTCTCAACTACTAATGGCATAATAAAAGTCTGTATTTAGCCTAATATATCTATAAACCTAAGATTTTTATTATGCCGATGAAGTAAATTATCAAACCCAGAAAATCTCAGACTATTAAAATGATAAAGAAAAAAAAACAAAAAAACACAGAAAAATTCTCATATCTGAATTACATAATCAATGAAAAAATTAATTCAACTCATATCTTACCTAAAACCTGGCCAGCAATCATTCTGCCATCTTCTCCTGCCACCGCAGCCCGGGCATTTCTCTCATTAACATATTGAACGAAGGCAAAGCCCTTATGAACAGAGCAACCCACAATTTTGCCATACTTTGAGAAGATAGCCTCCACATCAGATTTCTTCACCACAAGAGTATTGAGATTCCCAATGAATACACGGGAATTCATGGAGCGAGGATCCGTCTTGTTGGTAACATTGCTGGCCATTGTCTTTGATTAAGGTTCCTCACAAAGCCAAAACTAGAAGGAAAAAAAAAATGCATTCAGGTGAAAAGATGCTAAAAACAAAGTATTCCTTGATAAAACTTCATCTACTCTTATTTTAAACCACTGTGACTACCTAGAGTACCAGCCAACCTCCACGGATCTCAAAACAGCAAGTCTATTACTCTTCAGAGATAAGCGGCCAAGAATATATCTTTATAGAAATTCAACTTCCCCTTCTCTAGTGTATTCCAGATTATTTTTTCCCCTCCACAGACAATTGGCAACACAATCTTCCTGAACATTTAATTCCAAATGACCCCTGTTATAAAGTTCTCATGCAAATTAGAAACCCCTAAGTTATCTACTACAAATTTCGACTCATTTTTCACCTTCTCAGTCATGCTAACCTAGCCATTGCTTGCCATCTACCATATTCTTGCACATTGCTTTTATTAAAACGAGTCACTCACTCTCCCAAAGATATAAAAAAGCCCTCGAGCCCTAGATAGTATGGCTCAAGTGGATGGAGTGTCAGCCTGCGGACTAAAGGGTCCCAGGTTTGACTCCAGTCAAGGGCACATGCCCAGGATATACGCTTGATCCCCAGTAGAGGTTGTGCAGGAGTCAGCCGATCAATGATTCTCATCACTGATGTTTCTATTTCTCTCCCTCTCCCTTCCTCTCTGAAATCAATAAAAAATATATTTTTAAAAATACAAAATAGGGCCATAGCTGATTTGGCTCAGTGAATAGAGCATCAGCCTACAGAGGAAAGGGTCCCAGGTTCAATTCCAGTCAAGGGCACATGCCCGGGTTGCAGGCTCAATACCCAGTAGGGGTTGTACAGGAGCCAGCCGATCAATGATTTTTATCACTGATGTTTCTCTCTCCCCTCACCCTTCCTCTCTGAAAACAATAAAAAAATCTTTTTTTTAAAAAAAAAGAAAATAGGGATTTGCTGGGAGGACGCTCGAAATTCTGCCGATAAACCACTCTTTAGCTAGATTAATGTGGACAATTAACAACCTGCCCTTCAAGTATAATTAACCTCATTATACAAAGGCAATAAACACAAACAATTCATTCACTCTGGAAATACCCATTTATAGGTACCTCAATTGACTTTCAATATGCCAGATACCTTAAGTATAATATCTTTTTATAGAATTCGATGGCTCTTTTACTTCCTTATGTGGTAACCTACAAAATATAGTCGGAACATTTAATACTACTAGATGGTGATGATAAACTGGGTGAAATCAAAAGACCACGACAGGAACTAAGGCTTCCTCAGACTATTTCAAAACTATCTTTATGTATGTTAGATTCAATCTTAATGTTTGGCATTCTTTTAGCTTTTGTATCTGTTTGCTGCCAGTTGCCATTCCAACCACCAGTTATGATGGACCCACTTTCACTTTAGAGCAGTGGTTCTCAACCTTCCTAATGCCGCAACCCTTTAATACAGTTCCTCATGTGGTGGTGATCCCCAATTTCATTGTTACAAATTGAACATAATTAAAGCATAGTGATTAATCACAAAAACAATATGTAATTATATATGTGGTTTCCGATGGTCTTAGGCGACCCCTGTGAAAGGGTTGTTCGAGCCCCAAAAGGGTCCCGACCCACAGGTTGAGAACCACTGATTTAGAGTAACACGGTAAAGATTAATTTAAAGATACCAGTGTCTAATGATATTTTTCCAATACTCAAGAGAAACATGACAAATTAATTCTCATGGATTTAAATGTTAAAATGTCTTAAATACACACATTTAATAAAACAGGTAATATATAACATTTATAAGGACCACCACAATTCTGACCCATAAAATACCTACTCATTTCACAAGCAGTACTGATTTTAAAGATGTAACAACTGCCCTAGCCGGTTTGACTCAATGGACAGAGCGTTGGTCTGCGGACTGAAGGGTCCTGGTTTCAATTCTGGTCAAGGGCATATGCCCGGGTTGCAGGCTCGATTCCCAGTGGGTGGACATGCAAAAGGCAGCCGATCAATGGTTCTCTCTCATCATTGATGTTTCTCTCTCTCTCTCCCACTCCCTTCCTCTCTGAAACCAATAAACATATACATACATACATCTTATATCATAAAGAGGTAATATGCAAATTAACCCTCACACCCTCACAAGATGGCTGCCTATGACCATGCCGGCAGGGGGGCTTAGTAAGGGACAACCCATCGACTTAACAACAGGCTGTGTGGGTGAACAACAGGTTATGTGGGGCAACCAGACCAGCAGGGGGTTGGGGTGGGGGGGGCAGTAAGAGGCAACCAGGCCAGTGAGGGGCAGGGGGCAGTTAGGGACAACCAGGCTGGCGAGGGTGGGGGTGGGGTGAGGGGACTGTTGGGGGTGACGAAGCCAGCAGGGCAGTTCGGAGCAACCAGGCCAGGAGAGGGGGCAATTAGGGGCGACCAGGCAGGCAGGTGAGCGATTAGGAGCCAGCAGTCCAGGATTGTGAGAGGGATGTCCGACTGCCAATCAGGCCTAAACCAGCAGTGGGACATCCCCCAAGGGGTCCCGGACTGGAGAGGATGCAGGCTAGGCTGAGGGACCCTCCCCATGCACGAATTTCATGCACCATGCCTTTAGTATATATATAAAAGGATGTAACGACTGCTTTTCCCTTCTAGCATTTCTGAAATTCAGGACACAATCTATTTTATTTTGGTTTATAAATTATATTCTTATTTAAACAGTAGTTCTTAACCATTTTTTTTCTAGACTAAACAATGGAAATTTACCTAACAATAGCCACTGAGAATCACCCATAGCCTTTCAAATGTAAGTGTGAAGGCCAGAAATCTTTAGAACAACAATAAGAATAAACATAAACCCAGCCCTGACCAGTTTGGCTCACTCAGTGTTCAGCTTGTGCACCTAAGGGTTGCGAGTTAGATTCCCAGTTAAGGGCACATAACCAAGTTTGCAGATTTGTTCCCTGGTCCGGTTGGGAGGCAATTCTCTCTCTCTCACGTCAATGTTTCTCTCTCTCTACCTGCCCTCCTCCAATGTAAAAAAATCCTCGGGGAGGCTTAACAAAAACAAAACCAAAAAATCTACTAAAGAGAAAAGGATGGTTCTGCATGCCAGCAGCATACTGAACATGAGCTGAAAACACCAAAAAGACGTTAGATTTATGTTCCTTTTACATATACTCCTTTGAACCACAGAACAGAAATGGATTTAAATGACTATTTCCTCAATTTTTACAAGGATGCTACATATAGAACAGAATGCATCACTTATAGAAAATGAGTTAGGGCAATGATTTTTCAACATATTTCATCTCATGGCACACATAATTACTAAAATTCTGCAGCACATCAAAAAATACAAAAAAAATTGTTTAATTTTGATTCAGTCGTATGGCTGAATGGATGGCTGTTGTATTGGCTGTTACCGTATTTTTTACTTGGGAGCCTCAGGAAGAAAGAAGTCAGTAACCCTGGCTAGTCGGGTATTACATGTTTTAAAAATTCTTGTGACACACTAGTGTCCTGTGGCAAGTGGCTGCCTTATGGTTTAATTCTCTCAATGAATCCTATTTGAATAGACTGGTAGAAAGACATCCAAGAATATAAATAAAAAAGGTACTAACAGTGACTGTCATCTCTGAATTTTAGGACAGGATTTTATTTCCCATTTTCCTTGATATAAAAATGTTAATGAAAAAATAATACAATGATTTCAGTTTCAAAGCTGTGTTAAGGTCACCTGATTAGCTTTCAATGTCCATACTTAACTATAAGGATTTAATCAAGATGTAACAGAAAAGACAGAAAACCCACAAAGACCCATTAATCCCACTCCTAGGAACACATCCTTTTAAAGAATTAAACAGGAGTTATTACAAATTACTTTTTAATTGTATTTGCTAAGTACCAGGCACCAGGGCTACTTCAGGGGAGAAATGGGAACCAAAAATTCTAGTGGTACTGCTACTGAAAATTTTCTGAAGAGGGAACAGATTTTCTAAAGTTTTAGAAAGAACCAAATGATCTCAGGTCACACTTCACACTGACTGCTGAGGGGAGAAAAATGGTCACAATCCTAAATGCACAGACACTACTGGAAATGAACTGGGATTCCTGGAAGAAAGCAGCAACAACACAGAATAGTTCTGGAATTGTTCTGAATCCTTACATAAAAGCAATCATATAGCCGAAACCGGTTTGGCTCAGTGGATAGAGCGTCGGCCTGCGGACTGAAAGGTCCCAGGTTCGATTCCGGGCAGGGGCATGTACCTGGGTTGCGGGCACATCCCCAGTGGGAGATGTGCAGGAGGCAGCTGGTTGATGTTTCTCTCTCATCGATGTTCCTAACTCTCTATCTCTCTCCCTTCCTCTCTGTGAAAAATCAATAAAATATATTAAAAAAAAAATTAAAAAAAAAAAAAGCAATCATATAGTAAAAAAGCCAAAAAACCACAGACAAAACTTGGCGTCATGGTATCCCCCCAATCAAAACTCGCAAAATACAAGCTGGCAAGGGCAAGCCAACATGCATGGTATCACTAACTGGGGAAGTAGCAACTGGGAGTTACAAGACCTAGGAATTAAAGAATCCCAAAATATCCAGCGAGTATTACTAGAAATAACTAATTTTAAGAAAGGCAGCTGAAATGGGAGTTTTTTGCCTGCTCCAATAGTGAATAACAAGATTTGATGGGCCTGGCTGGTGTTGTTCAGTGGTTGACCATCGACTGATGAACCAAGAGGTCACCGGTTCCATTCCCAATCTGGGCACATGCCCAGGTTGCAGGGTCAATCCCTGGGTAGGGGGCGTGCAGGAGCAAAAGATAGATTTCTCTCATATAAATGCTTATATCTCCCTCGCTTTCTCTCTGAAAGCAAAAAAACAAACAAAAAAAACCCCCAAAAACTTTTTTTAAAGGTTTGATAGTGCTAGAGCAGCTTAGCCTCTACAAAATCTTAAAACTAACACAAAAGTCCCATGTACATCATTTCCATCTCTCCCCCCCAAAAAGTTTCTGCTCTAGTTATTA